TGTATTTAAGGATTCCTACAACATAAAATTGTTATAAAGTGGAATGTATCTAAGTGTTATAGGGGGGTCTACTGTAATATCATCAAGTTAAAATAATAGATAAAAAATATACTTATTATTCTTGTATTTATCTAAATGTAATCTTTTGATGACACACAAGGCTTCAAAAGGAATAAACATAAATATAGTCAATGATATTGAATTTATTTATGAAATGGAATGAGTATTGTTTATTCACATATATATATATATATATATATGTAATTACTTAAATATAAACATCAAATGTAATTATTTTTGTGTTAAATTTTTATTATATTACTTCTGATTTAAAGTTACAGTGTAACCTTGCTTAATGAGCATAATTCAATTCATTCAAGAATTTTACTCATAATGTGAAACATTTGTTAAGCGAAACAATTTTTCTCATGTAAAATAATGTAAAATACAATAATGCATTCCATGCCAAAGAAAACTCAAATATTTTATCTATAATATTTATTCAAAGAAAATTATACAATATACATTAAGGAGTGTGAATCATCATCATCATTTCTTCTAGTGCAGAATGAACAAACCTGGAATGTGAATTCAATTTGCAGAAAACAAAAGAAAACCAAATTTAATTTGGAATTGGTCATTAACCTATTCGATGTTGAAATTTTTATTTGTTGCCTGTGACACCATGTTGAATTTTCATCGATGCTAATCCTAAAATTTTTTTAAAATATAATAATCATGTTTACTGTGTCGTAAAAAATTATTTTTTTTATGTTTCACAAACAAAATAAATATACTATGATACACTTCTTGTCTAGTTATCTGAATGGCTTTGCGAGTGCTAAGATTGGCTTTACTTTACCTCTAGACTTATTACACCACCACAGGACATCAAATTAGATTTAGGAAAAAACTATTTTGTTTTCAGAATGCATTTCGGACATGGAGTCCCTCATCAGCTTTTTGCTACAAAATTAATAGGAGGTTAACAATTTTTATAAAAAGACCATGATTGACAGAAATAAACAAAGAATGTGGACTGACATTTGACATGTGGATTGTATGCATTGGACATTAATTAAAAGACTAAGCATGTGATAAAACAAGATTTTCCATTAAAAACGGTAATGTTGCTACAATAATAAACTGAGATTATGGTAAAACAGTAAAGTCGTGAAAATATACATTGTTAAAACAAAATGATAAGTAGATTCACAGTAACATGAACAGAGTAACAAGACGATTCGGAGTACATTCCAGGGTAACCGTCACCCTCACCCCTATCCGTTTTCACATCTCTCCCCTCCTTGCATGCCTCCTCTGGTCAAATATGCGTACCACGATTCGTGTAATTTTTGACTGGAGTTGTTGTTCATGATTTTCTCTGTTTTTTTATTATTTCTAAGTGTTTGTACCATCTTCTTTTATAAGTATTTTGTTCCTTTTTAAGTATTTTGACAGTATCCTTTACAATCTGACAGCCTTCATTATTACAGTGGGCGGCTACAGCTGAGCTATCATTGTTATGTGCTATGGCAGAGATATGTTCATTGAAACGGACCTTTAATTCCCTACTAGTTTCACCATTGTAAGATTTGGATGTGGTACAGTCGCATTCAAATTTGTAAACAAAGTTTTTTTGGTCCCATATGTTAGCTTTTCTGTTAGGTACGTTTATTTTCTGATGTAAGCTGTTGCAATGTTCGGGTACCAGAATAATATTATACTTAATTAATTTACTTTTAATTCTTTCAAAAATATTCGTAATGTAAGGAATTTTAAAAAATTTACTCTGTTCATGTTACTGTGAATCTACTTATCATTTTGTTTTAACAATGTATATTTTCGTGACTTTACTGTTTTACCATAGTCTCAGTTTATTATTATGTTATTGTAGCAACATTACCGTTTTTAATGGAAAATCTTGTTTTATCGCATGCTTAGTTTTTTAATTAATGTTCAACGCATCAAATCCACATGTCAAAAATGTAAGTCCACATTCTTTGTTTATTTCTGTCAATCACGGTCTTTTTATAAAAATTGTTAACCACCTATTAATTTTGTAGCAAAAAGCTGATGAGGGGCTCCATGTCAGAAATGCATTCTGAAAATAAAATAGTGTTTTCCTAAATCTAATTTGATGTCCTGTGGTGGTGTAATAAGTCTAGAGGTAAAGCCAATCTTAGCACTCGCAAAGCCATTCAAAATAAATATATTGAATAATATAGAAACAAAAAAAATTATATTTTTAAAAATTTGTCTTAATATAAAAATTGTGATGCATAGCGACATCTAGTATCAAAAACGTTCCGATGTAAACACAAAAATATTCGGGATCACTCACACAGGTCAGTGAGGTCAACACGAATATTTTCGGGAACAACGTAGGACAGGTTAAATTTCATACGAGATAGCAGCATAACTGCCTACCTCTAGTCAAATTAGTTCATTTTTAATAATTATAGCCTTTACATAGCCCAAGAATTTGGCATATCATTTGGTGTGTTTATTATATAATGGGCTATGGTTGTTGATGTTTATACATAATATGTCTGAACACACGGTTAGAAAAATGTGTGATCACAAGCAATACTAAGATGCTAGCGGAACAACTCTGAACACAAACTGATGTAGCATGCACACAATTTGGGACTTCTCTCCTTGTCACTTGTTATGCGAAACGTTGCTCGTTAAGCGAGTAATTTTTTTACAGTTTGTTTTTCTTGTTACATGAATTACTTGTTATGAGAGGTGCTTGTTAAGCAAGGTTCTGCTGTATTTAAAATAAGGTTAGTAGTGTTATTGAATTGATAGGAATTTTTATGTAAATGAAAAAAGAAAATAAATTACACAAAAATATCTTTGATTTTAAAGATCTAATAAATTGTTTTCTTTTTGTAAGTGTAAAGAACAAAAATATTAAGCATTGCATTTACTTATATATTTAATACAGTTTTTACTTAGGAGTAAAATAATTGTTTGTATGTAAACTGTATTATAAAATTTAAATTATAGTATTTAAATGCAAAAACAATGTAAAAAAACCAGAATTGTATTTTCTTAAAAAAAATAGCTCTAACATAATTAGGAAAGTAAATCTGAATTTGTTTGATATACAGTATATGTAATACACTTTTTTTTATATTAGGTAATAAGTAATTCATTTATTATTGAGTGTTTATATATGAATAGAAATATTTACTGAATATTTTAGCGAAAGAAAATTTTATTGATAAAGATATTAATTTTGACAAACTTTTTCAGCATCTAACAACTCTGTTATCTTCAAGTGATATGCAGGTAGTTTTAGGAGTCTTGAATTTGTTATATGTATTCAGGTATGATGTTTTTTCACACACAACAATCAGTTTTTCATGCATAAATTTTTTAAACAAGTTTATATTAGTAATAAAAATAAACATATAAAATAATCATAATTTTCAGATTTTTTAAAATCTAATTTTAAAAAGTTATTTTATTAGATTTTTAAATATACTTAGGATTAATACTTGTATTAACATTACAAAAACTTTTGAAATGTGTACATATTTTATGAAAATCTTACTTTATTTTTTTCCTACATATTTTATGTTTCAGGAAAGTAATTGTTTTTATTTTTAAGTATGTTCTCATAAGAAAACACTTGATAACAACTATTTACTATAAATAAATGGTTGCACAATATTGGTTGAACTGTTAAAAATTCAACCTGAAGAAATACTTTAACTTAAATTTTGATTGGTAATTTAACTTTTTAAATCTGTCTGACGGTTACAGTTGGGTCAATATGTTCGTGGATTCACCAGGATGTATGCAGAGTTCTGACAAAAACTTTAAATAGCAAAATATATAATGAAACTGTTACGCAATAGCCATTGGATATACATGCACAAATGTAATAATATTGTTTTAAAATTTATCTCAGTTGAAAAAATGGAGCTGCAATTAAAATATCAGTATGTAATAAAGTTTTTGATGTTGCTGAAAACAGACAATGCAGAAATTCACAAAAGCTGCAGCAGGCATGTTGAAAAATTTCTCATCATAAACACCAGATAAATGTTTACTTATTTACTTATATAGTTTTAAAATTTATCTCAGTTGAAAAAATGGAGCTGCAATTAAAATATCAGTATGTAATAAAGTTTTTGATGTTGCTGAAAACAGACAATGCAGAAATTCACAAAAGCTGCAGCAGGCATGTTGAAAAATTTCTCATCATATATCACTATAAACAGATAANTAATTGTTAATACTGTATAACGGTCTTGTCAACTTTTGTAATTTTGGTTATTAATAATTTCCGATGCAGCGCTCTGAGGCTCTAATAACTTTTTTCAGCGTTACTTTTCCTCTTTTCCTTTATACTTCTCCCTTCAGAACCCTTCCTTCAACCCTTTCTTCACTCCTTTCTCTTCGTAGTGGGCTAAGTTTGCAAAAGCAGACAGCCCTTCCTCCTCCTTTATTATTATTATTTCACTGACATTAAATTCAGTTTGTTGTGATACATAACAAATTGTGATTTTACATATATATGTATGAGGGGTGCTTGATATTAAAGGTATAAGCCAAAGTTATATTAACATTTATAATTAAAGAAAATATTTAATACATTCCACAAAAAATTACATAAGTTTATTTTTCACACAATCTCCGTAGATGTTGAGACATTTATTCCAGCATGATACTAATTTGAACATTCCTTCACAGTACTGGTGCTTGTTAAGTTGCTTGTAGTCCAGAACAGTGTCTTGCAATTTCCCTGCCAAAAATTTCTTTAAAAGTTTGAATAAATGAAAACCCAACGGGACTAAATCTGGACTATAAAGAGGATGTTGCAGGACCTCCCAATTCTGCTGTGCCAACCACAGTTTAAATTTTTGGCACCAAATGCTGACTTCTTTTCGGCTTAAAACATTTGGACCATAAACGCCCTGTAATCTGTGATGAATTTTGCTCTGATTAACTCCTTCAGCTTACAAAAATCTGATAATTCCATGTACTTCACACATCGAATATGCTTCGATTACATATAACATGCCATGTTTATTTGCTTTCTGGAAACTAAATTGAGTCTTGAACAAAGCAATGCTCCAGACTCTACTGCTGCATGCATGAATGTGGCTAGTCATGCATATGGCACTAATATTTTGCGTATGTATAACAGCCAACTGTACCTTTAATATCGGACACCCCACATACATTTGGCTACATAATTTTTTTTCCTAGTTGAGAAATGTAAATTTGTTAATGTGGTGTTTCCAGCTGTCCTTTGACTTTTTACATCACTGGTGACTCAAGTAGTTTGCTGGATGGATCCCATTTTAAATAATGGTGTGCCTTTTGTGAAAAGGTTTAGCTATTGCATGGGTATGGATGAGACTGATTTGCTTTGAAAACACCCAATTAGCAAAACAACAAAGATTTTATTGAATCTCTAAAGGAGGATTTTCACTTTCCCCATATTTAAACATTTTGTACATCTCAAATTTTACCCAATGTGCTTTTTGATCAATTTATGAAATGAAAAGAGTTACAAATAACAGTTTACCATAAGAAGCAGGCTTTTTTGTGTCTCAAGGAGTGTCCTGCCACTGTTTTTTTTTATGTTTATGCTTGTCTTATCTTCCAGAAATTTAGGTATGCTTTTTTTCTATCCTGATGTTTTTTCTATTGGATTTTTTCTTTTAATGGGCTCAGGTGGTCTAACTATTGCATCAATATCCAAATGTGTTCCATTAAGTATTCCTTCTTGCCAGAGTCCAGTTCTAAGATGTTCTCTCTCTCCTTCCTTTTAGGGAGGACTTCATGGAAAAATCCTCTGCAAGCATCTGGCAGGAATTATTTCCTCTTTCCCTTTGTCTTTTTGTAGATTGGTCTTGTTGATTATAGTCAATCTGTTTTGTTTGAACCACTGGAGTAATGTAAACAATTTAACTTTTCATGGGAAGGAACTTGATGTTTATTCAAATTGTGAAAATGTTGATAGTTTTTTAAGATTGATAATTAATGTTGTATTTTAAAGATTATAAGAGAATTAAATGTCAATAAAATCATAATTAATGTTTATAATGATTATTCACAAAATTTATTATTAATACAATTATTTAAAGTAACTTGAAATATAATTTATTGCAGATATAGTAATAAATGACGTCATACTGCAAGTTTTTGAATTTGCAATTTTTCTTTAAAATAAACACTTTTTAAATTGCAGAACATTTTTAAAACACTACTAAATAATAAAGTTAAACTGTGCAATTTTAAAATTAAAAAAAAAATTATTAGATTTTAAAAATATAGTTGAAGTACAAAATTTGAAGTTGTTTGGATCCCAAATTTCATGTTTCAAATTATACATTATTAATTATGCAAATCAAAAAATCTTATTTTTAATATTTTGAGTAAAACAAAACATGCATGTTATTGAATTTAATAGTTTGTGTGTAGATGATTAAATGCTTAATATTACAAAATACATTTTAGAATTACAATTAGAACAACTTTTAAGACCAAGCTTACAGTGCAAAGAAGAGTTACAATTCTGATGACTTTTTTCTGTAAACAGAATCAGTGTTCATAGAAAATCCAGTGAATGAAATTGAAATTTTAGTTGCATGTTATAAACAATTTAAAGTAAATAACAATCATTTTTCTTACTTAGAACAATATAAATATTCAATGTGAAGGTAAGTCTTGCTATGATGTTAACCACCATTTGATGCAACACTGATTGTAGTGATTAGGGCTGTACAGAGCTATATGACCATTGGCAGTCAGAGCCAACATTATAGATATTCGTGAGAGGCCACCACTGGAATGTAAAATGACGTCTTATGAAGCCAGGATAATTTAAATTAACCTTGAGTGAAACTAAATTGGTTATAGTGACGTCGGGCAGTCGGATGGCTCTGTACGGCTCTAATTAGTATGACCGCTGGCACGTTGGATGGCGGTTAACATGTTAAGCATAAAGAATGTAATTATGTTAACAGAAATAAAGATAATTTTTAATTAAGATGTAAGATTAAAGATGTATTTAGAATCATGGCAGTTATGAATTTCCAAGTTGTTTCAATTAAATCTACTATTAAACTGAAATCAGTGTTCTGAAGTTTTTAATATTTATTCTCTTTTAGATACATAATAATTATACATCTTTTTATTTTTAACTTACTGTTTTGTGTAATTTGAGTGATGTAATAATTGTTTAATCTGTATTGATGAAATATTGTGAAATTTATTTTATATATGTTTAATGCATAAATTTTTCATATGTACTCTAGTTTTTCTCAGTTTTTTTTCTCAGCAATTTCTATCTAAAAAAATTTCATAGTAAACTATACAATCATATTTAGTCAATTTATGCTGTCACAGTATGCTATCATCACTGTTATACTACATTTGCACACAATCCATGACTCACTTCGATCTCGATTTACCCACAATCTCGATTGTAACTGTCGCCATTCGAATGTCGAACTGTTTGCACAGGCTGTCTGCTTGAGAAGAACACAGCTATTATATGCGATGATAAAATTGACATAACTACACGATAAGTCATGAACACCAACAAACAAAATGGAAGTTTTGGTTAGAAATAAATACTTTTTCTTGCCATATATCTAATAATAGACAGATGTCATCGTCTCTTCAGTTGTCTTTTTTATTTCTCTATCGATAGCCTGACACGTGTTCCGCAGCCATCTTGTATTTTCTTGCATGCGTGGGATTGTGGGATCTCTTATGACTTGATCTAGTTTCGAGAACTCCCTTGATTCAATCGCGATTGAACCTCATTTCAGTTGAGATTGAAATGGTCGAGAGAGATCACACCACGGCATAGTCACCGACCTTGGTCACAATCTAGATTGAAATACAGGTATACCTCGCCTTACGTCGGTAATTGGTTCCAGGAAAACGACGTAAGTCGAAAAACGACGCAAGTCGAATTTACTTGTCTCCGAATCTACTTGTCACTAGGCTAAACCATAAATTACCATTCCCGGTTTTGTATTTTATTTATTAATGCATTTTTAATAATATATGGTTAATAAAAATCTATTTTAAGCTTACAAACAAATANAATACTATTTGTTTGAGGAAATGTCCATAGTAATTTTTTTCAGTATAATAATCAACAGGTTACAGTTCCTCTACATTGAACAAAAATGACTAAATTCAGCAAATTGAAAAATTTTTAATTTTTAAAATGTATTTTATGTATTTTGTATTATATTGTATTAATAAACAAAATTATTTGCTTATTTTTCACTTATGTAGAACCTAATCCTATACCTCACTGTAAATATGAGTTCGTTTTACGCCAATTCGATTT